TGAAACACCCCTCAAAGTTGTGGCCAAATGGGTATACAATCAAGGTCCCATTTGGCCCACATTTGCATAAAATCCCCTCAAAATCAAGGTCCCATCAAGGGGATTTTATGCAAATGTGGACTAAAATTTCAGCCCTATTTTACACAAAAGTCCTCCAAAATTTGGCCTTGTTCTTGCATAAAACCCCCCAAATTTTCGGCCACTTTCAAAACCCATCATCAAGATTTAATCTTTGCATTACATACCCACACTACAAGAGTAAAGTTTCAATCTTTCTTGTAAAAGCTATGGATTCTTAATTAAGAATGCAAGAAAAAAAGGAGGGGCTCTTGAGGGGAAGCTTACCCAAATCAAGTCTTGAGCTTGAAGATGGATGAACCCTAGCCTTGGGAGAAGAAGAACTTTGACCGAGGAGGAGATGAAATCCGAATTTATTTTGAAGAGTTGAGCTTTTTTTTTAAGGCAAGAATTTTGATAGGTTGAGAGTTCTTGAAGAGAAGAAACAACGGAGTTTGAATAAGAGGAGGAAGAAGAAGTTGAGGGAGAAAAGGACTCTTTTTTGAAATTTGGGAGTTTAAGAGGGAAATAAAAGCACAAACACAAGGAAACAAAAAAAAAGAAAGACAAAGGGGTGAGTGTCTCGACAATAGGCTGAAACAACGAAGGGTGTCTCGGCCTTGGCTGAGACACCTAGGAATGTCTCAGCCAAAGCAGAGACACCCAAGGGTGTCTCTGCCAAGGCTGAGACACCCACAGGTGTCTTGGCCCAGGTTGAGCCCCCAGGTGTTTTTCACGATCCTATTTCGCCTAATTTCATCGGTGATTGGTTATTATGATGAAAATCAACACAAAACAACGCCGGACGATCCGAAATCCTAGGTCAATGCTGGTCAACGCATAACCCTAGGTCAACGTCTGTCAACGCGTTGTGATGAAAAGTCAACACCGGGCGATCCGAAATCCTAGGTTGACGCCGGTCAACGTGTAACCCTAGATCAATGCCAGTCAATGTGTTGTGATGAAAACGTTAACGTCGGTCAACACGTAACCTTAGGTCAACTCCATTCAACACGTTGTGATGAAAAAGTCAACGCCGGGCGATCCGAAACCCTAGGTTAACGTTGGTCAACGCGTAACCCTAGGTCAACGCCAGTCAATACGTTGCGATGAAAAAATCAACGTTGGGCAATCCAAAACCCTATGTTAACGCCGGTCAACGCGTAACCCTAGGTCAATGCTAGTCAACGCGTTGCGATGAAAAATTCAACGTTGGGCAATCCAAAACCCTAGGTTAACACCGGTCAACACGTAACCCTAGGTCAACGCCAGTCAACGCCAGTCAACGCGTCGCGATGAAAAGTCAACACCAAGCGATCTAAAACCCTAGGTCAACACCGGTCAATACGTAACCCTAGGTCAACGACAGTCAACGCATTTCGATGAAAAAGTCAACGTCAGGCGATCTGAAACCCTAGTTTAATGCCGGTCAACGTGTAACCCTAGGTCAACGCTAGCCAACGCGTTGTAATAAAAAAGTCAACATCGGGCGATCCGAAACCCTAGGTTAATGTCGGTCAACGTGTAACCCTAGATCAACACCAGTCAACACGTTGTGATGAAAAAGTCAACGCCGGGCGATCCAAAACCCTAGGTTAACGTCAGTCAACACGTAACCCTAGGTCAATACCAGTCAACATGTTGAGATAAAAAAGTCAACGACGGGCGCTCCAAAATCGTAGGTTAATGCCGGTCAACGCATAACCTTAGGTCAACGCCAGCTAACGCGTTGTGATAAAAAAGTCAACGCCGAGTGATCCAAAACCCTAGGTCAACGCCAGTCAACACATAACCCTAGGTTAATGCTAGTCAACGCGTTGTGATGAAAAAGTTAATGTCGGGGGATTCGAAACCCTTGATAAGCGCAAGTCAACGTGTAACCCTAGGTCAACGCCAGTCAACGTGTTGCGATGAAAAAGTCAATGCTGGGCGATCCGAAACCTTAGGTTAGAGCCTGTCAACGCGTAACCCTAGGTCAATTCCAATCAACGCGTTGCGATAAAAAAGTCAACGTCGGGCAATCCGAAACCCTAGGTCAAGGCTAGTCAACGCGTTGTAATAAAAAGTTAATATCGAGCGATCCGAAACCCTAGGTCAATGCTGGTCAACGTTTAACCCTAGGTCAACGTTAGTTAATGCGTTAGAATGAAAAGTTAACGTCGGGCGATCCGAAACCCTAGGTTAACGACGGTCAACGCGTAACCCTAGGTCAACTCCAGTCAACACGTTGCGATGAAAGTCAACGCAAGTCAATATATTATGATGGAGATGGTCAGTTCAAGGTCAACTCGATGACACGAGCCAAGATCAACTCACCGGTTTTGATTCAAGACTTCGACGATGGCTAGATGATAAACGCAGTGCCGGGAGAACTTTAGCTATTTGTCAAAATATCGAATAGATTAAAAATCGAAGGAGTCAGGAATCAAAGCTAACTACATACCTTTTACACCAACTGAAGGTTAGACCGATCATATACAAAGTATTTCAGGCTCATCTATATAAGAAACGAGACTGAAACACTTTGGAGGGGGTATCTGTAGGTGTCAAAAATTGCTTATAGGCCCTGCACACGGCTCGAGATAGAGAGAAGATGATGAACATCACTATTCAAGTCAAGCTCATTTGATGATGACAAATGTATGAAGTGAGTCGACGGACCATGCGAAGCAACAGAATTTCGGAATAACGAAAACACGAATGAACCGGGAGCTGCACGTCACTTACGAAAGACGAAGTGCCCCTCGTGTCCCATTTACTCCACATATGATTAAATCATGGGAGCTTGTAGATCTTCTCGTCGGCTTTTCGACGCATTCTATATCATGTGATTCTGAGTCGGATGATGAAAATACGGTGAAAACGGACAGAATGCGTAGGCCGAGCCCTAAGCCAAAGTCAAGACACCTCTTTGACGTCTCGGCCAACCCGAGACACCCAAAGGTGTCTCAGCTTGGCTGAGACACTCCAAGGTGCCTCGACCAAGCTGAGACACGAGACACCCATTTGTATCTCGGCTTGGCCGAGACACCCATGAGTGTCTACAGACCCGAAAATCAGATTTGGCTATTTTTTGGTGGTTTTTTGACCGTTAACCGTCTGGATTTGCTCCAACTGATAACATATCATCCATGAACGTGATTAAGTGGTTATAACTGAAGATAAGATGGAATCGGCCATTCTTATCCAAAAACAGGGCTCCCGAAGCCTATAAATACAGCCACAGGGCCTTTATTTTTTTAGATCTAGAATTCTCAAGCGTTGGCAAAGCCTTGCCAAACTGAAGACTAAAGGAGCATGAATTTCAAAAGAGAGGAGGAGATCGGAGCGAGTTCGTCAGCACGAATAAGATGAATTCGTCAGATCTGCAGTTCCCGTGTTTTTCCCATGAGATTACCTAGTTGCCGTGATCTCAAGAAGAGTGATTATCTTGCTGTTGCCGAGATAATTGCTTCAGCTTCTTGATTTCTTCGTGAATCAATGAAGCTCCGGATCTGATCTGGTTGCTTGGTAGTCCACGGATATCAACGTCCCCGTCACCGGCCAAGAACCTACACAAGCAAGAGCCGATAAACGATTCTTGTGTTTATTTTCAAGAGAGTTGTAATTTTTATTTTTGTTATTTGAATTTGTTATAAACGATTAAAGTTGTATTGAAATCGATAATGAAGGTGACTTTTGACGAAAACAGAGGGCACCAGAGTTTCAGGGACTATCAGATTCTCTTGCAGCACATAAATGGAAGGAGGATGTAGGTAATATCCTTGAGATACTTAATGTGACATCAGTTCAGTAGCAGAGGCTAGCATCCTACAGTCTCAAAGGGAATGCAGGGAGATGGTAATGGCTACAGTTCACTATAGAGCAGAGGATGACCCTCACCTGATAGGATTTCGTCTATTTCTTTGATGAGCAATATATCTCTTCCGCGACACGGGACGAGAAAGAGCTCAGGTTATCCAGATTGACTCAGGGAGGTATGTCAGTAGCTGATTTCGAGAGCAGATTTATGATCCTACTTCATTTTATGGGTATGTGGCAGACAAGGGAACGCCAGGCGTAGATGTTTCTTGCAAGACTTCACCCTAACCTTCGTCGATACCTTGTTACAGAAGGAGAATGAATCAACTATGTTTTAGAAGGACAAGGAAGGGAATACTAAGGATAAGGGTAAGAATAAGAGATCTTTTTCAGGACCCCAGCAGCAGCAACAACAGCAAAGCCTTCATAAGAGAGGACCCCAGCAGGATCAGAGAGCACCTCGGCAGCGCAAGTTCCAGGGCACTTGTTTTAAGTGTCACCAACTTGCCCATAAAGAATCAGAGTATCGCAGTACACTAGCAGGAGCCCAGCAAGGGAGAGGGCAAAATCAATAGCAAAATCAATTTCAGGGCCGAGGTCAGGGCCAGTAGATGAGACTAGAGGCACCGTCAGTAGTTCCGCAGATTGAGGGATATATTCCTACAGTTCAGGAGGTCCACCAGGGACAAGTAGTTGCATATGCTCCACCTCTAGTAGCAGAGTAGCCTCCAGCCACCGGTAGAGTTTATGCGGTAGTTCCTCGTGATCATGGTGCGAGCGGGGCCATAGTGGAGGGGACGTTCCTCGTGAACTCCTTTCCAGCCTGTATTCTTTTTGATATAGGAGCTTCATATTCTTTCATATCTTATGCTTTTATGATTAGACTTCAGCTCGTAGCTCAGCCTCTAAACATTCCTTTGTCAGTTTCCACCCCTCTAGGTAAGATGTTGCTCTTTGAGAGCATTTGTAGGAGGTGTGTTATCAGTTTAGACGAGTCTGAGTTCGTTGTTGATCTGATAGTGTTGAGCATATCAGAGTTTGATGTCATTCTTGGTATGGATTGGCTATCTTCCTACCATGTCAGTATCGACTGTTTTACAAAAATAGTCAATTTGTGAGCATATGATGGGTCCGAGTTAGTTATGGCAACCTCTCGGGGGAACCAGTTTGCGGAGTCATTATTGGTGTATATCGGAGAGGTAATGCTTAGGGATCAGAGTGCTGATATATGCGAGACTAGAGTTGTCTCAGATTATCAGGATGTCTTTCAGAATATACCTGGGTTGCCTCGTGTGAGAGAGGTTGAGTTCTATATCAAGTTACAACCGGGCACAGCCCCGATATCCTGAGCACCCTATCGCATGGCACCTACTGAGATGAGGGAGCTTCAGACCTAGTTGGACGAGTTGTTTGCTCAGGGATTTATTCATCGGAGTCATTCTCCGTGGGGAGCGCCGGTCCTCTTCGTGAAGAAGAAGGATGGTAGTATGTGATTATGTATCAACTACCATGAGTTAAACAAAGTCACTATCCGGAATAGATATCCTTTGCCTTGGATTGATGACTTGTTCGATCAGCTGTAGGGATCGTAGTATTTTTCAAAGATTGATCTTTATTCCGGTTATCATCAGCTGCGGGTTCGGGAGATGGATATTCCTAAGACCGCCTTTCTGACTCGATATGGGTCCTTCGAGTTTTTGGTCATCCCATTTGGGTTGACCAATGCACCCATGGTATTCAAGGATTTGATGAACTAAGTTTTCCATCCATACTTGGACCAATTCGTGATTGTATTTATCGATGATATTCTGATCTATTCGAGGTCGAAGCCCGAGCACGAGCAGCATCTATGTTTTGGCTTTGCAGACTTTAAGAGAGCATCAGCTATATGCTAAGTTCAGCAAATGTGAGTTTTGGATTTCTGAGGTCAGGTTCCTTGGCCATATTGTCAGTAGAGAAGGCATAGCAGTGGACCCAGCTAAGGTTTCAATAGTGATTGATTGGGAACCGCCGAAGATGGTTACCAAGATTCATAGCTTTTTGGGGTTGGCTGGCTATTACAGGAAGTTCATTCAGGATTTCTTGAAGGTTGTGATATCTCTTACATGCCTTATGATGAAGGGTGTATAGTTCACTTAGAGCACGGATTGCCAGAAGGCCTTTGATACCTTGAAGGCTAGGTTGACTACATCGCCAGTTCTTACTATTCCGAGCAGTGACAGGACATTTATTGTATACACGGATGCATCGTTAGTAGGTTTGGAAGGTGTTTTGATGCAGACTCAGAGGGTAGTAGCATATATCTCACGGCAGTTGAGGGTGCATGAGCAGAACTACCCCACTCAAGATTTGGAGTTAGTTCGAGCTATTCACAGACCACCAACGTCTGAAATACCTTTTCCCCCAAAAGTAACTTAACCAGAGACAGTGGCGATGGATTAAGTTCATCAAGGACTACGAATTCACAATACAGTATCATCCGGGGAAGGTGAATGTCATAGCAGATGCTTTGAGTAGGAAGCGTCGACATCAGGTTGCGGCTTTGAGGTGCTCATTGTATTGAGATCTTCTCACTCTTAGCTAGTTCGATTTTAGGCTAGAGATTGGCAGGACCAGTACATACTTAGGAGCTATATCAGTGCAGCCATCTTGGAGGGACAGAGTAGTTAGAGCTCAGTTAGAGGACTCTTGGATTCGAATCCGAAAGGAGGAGATTTCCAAAGAGCCCAAGGATGATTGGACCATTGGAGCAGATGGGGGCCTTAGAATGAAGGGTCGATTTGATGAAGCACATCGTACCCGATATACAGTGAATCAGGAACCACTAAGATGTACAAGGATTTGAGGAGACACTTTTGGTGGAGTGGTATGCATAGAGATATTGCATATTATGTAGCTAAGTGTTTTACCTGTCAGCAAGTGGAGGCAGAACACCAGAGACCAGCAGGGACACTTCAGACCATACCCATTCTAGAGGGGAAGTGGGCGAACATTTCCATGGACTTCATTGTAGGGTTGCCGAAGTCGAAGAAGGGGAATGACTCAGTTTGGGTGATAGTGGATCGTTTGATAAAGTCGGCACATTTTATTCCACTGAGGACTACTTATACCACCGAGGCATATGTGAGGATATTTATCCGAGAGATAGTTCGACTTCACGGAGTTCCAGGTACGATTGTATCAGATCGAGGATCAGTTTTCACCTTGCACTTTTGGTGGAGTTTCCAGGATTCATTCGGCAGCAGATTATTGCACAGTAGTGTTTTCTACCCTCAGACAGACGATTAGACAGAAAGAGTGAACCAGGTGTTGGAGGATATGCTGCGGGCTTGTATCATTGATTTTCAAGGCAGCTGGGAGAATCATATTCTATTGATAGAGTTCGCTTAGAACAATAGTTATCAAGCGACGATTGGTATGGCTCTGTATGAGGCATTGTACGGAAGGCCCTGTAGATCCCCTATTTGTTAGGTAGAGCCAGAGGATAGCTTGTTGCTTAGACTAGAGCTTGTGAGGCAGACTACCGAAAAGGTAGCATTGATTAGGGAGCGTATTCTAGCTGCTTAGAGTCGGCAGAAGAGCTATGCAAATCATAGACGGCGACCTTTAGAGTTTCAGGAGGGAGATTACGTCATGTTAAAGGTATCGCCGATGAAGAGTGTGTAGCGATTTGGTAGACGAGGAAAGCTTGCCCCGAGATATATTGGCCCTTTTCAGATTGTGGAGCGTATTAGGACTGTTTCGTATTGTCACGCCTCGCTTCCCAAAATACCCGGGAACCGGAATGTGAACAAGCCCGCGACGTATTAGGTTGAGTAGAAATAAATAATAAAACTCTTTCTACTCAATCTAATACACTAAACGTCAAGCAAATATAAAATACGAAGTCACAGGTCCCCGATCACACATAGCAAGAGTATAATGAACAACTCAGAATGGAAAAGATACATATCACAAATAGAATATCATCCAGCACACAGAGTTGGGTCAAACACACCCTTATTACAAAACGGTCCAACTAAAAATATAAAAATACATAGTCCAATAGAAATAAAAGGAAAGTACTGTTAAAACAACTAAATCCAACATCTGACTAAATAAAATAAGGTTCTGCAAAAGAGATCTAGCGCTCATCAACTACTATAGAAATAAAAGTCTAAGCTTCAGATTATTCTTTTGATCCATCTGGAAGACCTTACTGCTACAAATCATCTGGCTCATGTACTATCCCGAACTGAGGCTGCTCATCTCCTAAATCTGACGTACACCAGAGAAAAACAGGTGTACGTCAGGGTACATGGCACACGGCAAGATCCCACAATGGAGAAATAGGAACAGTTGAACGACCCAAGCAAAAATAGTAATAATAGTAAAAGAAGCATGCTACTGGAATACTAATAACCTAAATGAAATCTACCACTAGAATATAATAATCAGGAGAATCCAAGAAAGTCAACCAAGTAACAAGTCGATCATGCAGCCAACGATCAGAATAATCATCCAAGTAACAAGGTCATACACTAGATGAAATTAATACTTAAAAATCTACAACTCGAGACGTAGTACGTCGAGCGAAATAATCCAAACAAGGAAATCCTCATGTATATACCATATGTCTCAAATTGTAGATAATTAAATATTAATCCCGATCTATGTATAAGAGAAATACAGCAGGCCTACATCTCACAAGAATCCATAATCACCTCAAGTAACAAGGTCATGTAACTAGCCATTCTATAACAGGTCACTGGTACAAATCTCACACAGAGTCAAAGTTCATATCATCTTATAACTGATTGCTCGCACATCATCTAAGCAAATAAATTCATGAACCAAAGTAGCGACACCGATCTACTTTGACTCAACAAACCAACCCCAGTGGCGACGCTGATCCACTGGTACGAGCCTAGAAGATATATCAACAACTATATCCAATCACATGAACAAAGACTTTTCCACCCCAACTCTTCTTGCTTTTCTAAGTCAACACAACACATGTCTCTAGGTCAAACAAGGCCACTATGGTCATGACTGCTAATGGTTCTCAATCACAGCAAGGCAATAGTAATGTAACAATTCATGTGCAATAATAACATGACATATCGTGTAATAATGATTTGTTTACAGTATAAATATATATACATATATATATGAAAATAGTAATATTATAATGCACTAGAAATGATAAAGAAGAAATCCTTCAGTCAAGTCCGACGATAGATAGATCGATGCAGAATAAAGAAACAACTACTAATTGTCGAAAAGGAAGTATACACGCTAAATGAGGAAGCGATCCAACCAAAGAAAATATAGAAAATAATCATAGAAAAGGAAGTATACACGCTAAATGAGGAAGCGATCCAACCAAAGAAAATATAGAAAATAATCATAAGTATAATGACGACATAACAAGGAATCCTACGACGTCAACGGGGAGCGATCCAACCAAAGAAAATATAGAAAATAATCATAAGTATAATGACGACATAACAAGGAATCCTACGACATCTACGGGGAGAATCTCAAGATCTAGTTCCCTTGTAGATAGGTCGGCACAGGAAACGAGAAGCGACATCGGATTCAATTTTGAATAATTAAGCAATAGAATGAATGAATGAGTCTAAACAAATCATCCTAGGTGTAGAGGGGCTCAAATCAGGATTGTCAATAAATCAGGACGTTAATCTCCCCTCCCTATTTTAGTGAGAACGGCGAAATCGCCTACAAGAATAAAGTCGGTTCATCTCCACAATTTGGAGGAAATCAAGGCGTATAGCCGACACAGGAATGAAACCAAATACATAGGCACGAAGGCCATCCACCGCAATGATACACAGCCATAAATTAGTCAACGAATACAATACAAGGCCATCAATAATATACAAGGTCGACAATTTATTATAAAAGGCTGTAAATAATAATACGTTTCCCGGTAGCGAATTGCAAAGCAAACCTATAAGGAATTCTAGGCTAATGCAATCAAGCATAAGTATAAGGAAGCACGATAAAGATGTGATATCAGACAATAATACGAATCAAATGAGTAATCACATGAAATATAATTACGAGACTCAATATGACATGAACATGACTGTATAGGATAACTATGAATCGAACGTGCATGTATAGTATAATAAATTCTTTTAAAATATCTATTATTATAATTACTCAAAATAAACCATTTATTTTTAAACTAACCTTTAAAAATAATTAGCTTATTAATTCCAAAATAATCCTTTACAAAATAATTTCCTTTAAGTTATTTCTAATCATAAAATCATATATCTATTTATTTAAAAGTTCTTTTACAAAATAGTTTCTTTTAAAATATTTCCTTATTATAATTAATTCTAAAAAATATTCTTTAAAATTATTCTTTTCTTATCTTTTTCAAAATACACATCATAATTAATATCGTTCATCAAACAATCCCACGCAAATATATCACAACATACAACATAATTATATTACAGTTTAAACATGCATATAATTAATTCGCAGATCTAAAATTGAATTGACAAGTCCAGAGAAGTAGGATCTTGCCTACGAGGCCAAGGGGCCTGATGACGAGCGGCGGGGTCAATGAGGACGCGGCATGTGGGGATCGAGGCGATGTTGACAGCGGCTTGGATCTGGTTCAAGCACGAATGTTCAGCGTGGTTGAGTTCGTCGGCGTGGATCTGAAGAGACATCGTCGAAGTGGAAGAGGCGGACGAGAAGGGGATGCAGGTGGTGCTGGGGGTTCACCGGTAGCATG